TGGAAAATCTTCCCAAGTCCTACCATTCCCCAGATGCCTGCAGAAGGAAGGTGGTGCCATGTGAAGCCTCAGAAGAGAAAATTAGACTATGGGGGGAGGGTGGAAACTCATTGTAAACTTTTCTTTCTTGCCCCATTTGTATTGTAACAAGCCAGTTGAATGTATTAATGGAGAGATGGCATTTAGGAATAGGTGGCAGAACAAGTACTGAACACCTTGGACTTCTATCTGGTGGGAGGGAAAATTTATACAGAATGTTTGTATTGACTGTTTTGTAGAAATAGCTGCATATGCACACACACACACCATTCACACCATTCAGAGTCTATCCCCTCCACCTACCTTTAGTAAAGTTCCCCAGGCTGATTTTTGCTCTATTGCACCAAAGCTTTGTGGGGCCAACTTCCAACAGATTCCAGGGGGGAGGGAACTAGGCCCCCTCAGGTGATTTGCAATTCATATGCCCTGACTAAGGAAGCAATAGGAAAAATCCCAAACTTATGCCCTGAATATTTTGCACTGTTGAGCTCAGATTGGGATTCCTAGAACTCATTATGTGCAATTTAAAAAAAATTTAATAGCCTGGCAGTTGGGCATTACAAACCTGGATGCACTGAATTAAGAGCTAAGGCAGGAAACAACCCTTGAAACTGGGCAGCCAGTGGTCATGTACTAAGGAGAACCATGGCTGTGAAGAATTTTGGGGGGTATGCAAACCTGACTGGAAGCTAAAGGTGACATCCAACATTTAAGAGAACTAGCACAAAACATTGGGCACAACCAGTCATCCTGGGACCTTTCCTGGCTCTTTTCATGGTTACCAGACTTCCATTGGTTGAAAATTCTTATTGGTAGTATAATCACAGTCATAATAGGTGGAGCCCTCCTTTGTTCCCTTTGCCAATTAATTCCTTTAGGGTTAAAATGCCTAAAGATCTGCACAACTCCCATCAGAAGCAAGGGACAAAGCAAGAAAACATCTCTCATGATGTGCCAAATTGATCACCACTACCGTATATATGAACCAGTTGGGCTAATCACTGATACTCCAGTGATAGCCCAAAATGGGAGAATTGATGAGAGTTGGACACCCCCTCCCCAGCCCAACTAAGAAATAACCTAGGAACACCCCAACTAAACTGGGTCAACAGCAGCCTGAGGCTAAATGGCAAACACTTGACACACACAATGAGGAACCAGTTAGCAACAATCAGGACACAACAATAAAGTAATTAACACCTTTCAGGCAGGATTAGCAAGGAAATTTAACCAACAATAGTCACTGACCAACAAATCAGAAAAGGCAGATTCAAACTCACCAATCAAAATTGACAAAATTGGAAACCACAAAAAGGTATAAAACCTCTGTTTAAAAGATCATTCTGTCTAGCTAGCCGGGGACTCGAACTGAATTGTCACTCAACGCTGATCCTCGAAATTAAACCTCTTTCTGGTAGCTGGCTTCACGATCTATTTCTTCTGCGCTGCACCGTCAAGGGGAATCCCGGCTGGAAGGACCGAACGGGGGAGTTCCTCCCAACACACTTTATAGTGGATTCAGATGAAGTATTCTTAATTTGTCATATACATTTTTTTTCTGATCGATGATATGAAGAGCAAACACTTGAATAAAATCTTTAATGAAATCTTTAAATTAATTCGATGTGTTTATGTACATTTAATTAAATATTATGGAATAAAATTTTAAAATGCTCTCTGTGTCTTTTGAGGCAGTACTTACAAAACAGTACTTAAACCAAGAACATTCAAATTCAGTTTCTTTTAATGCTCTGTTTTATGTTATCCAAGATGAAAATATTGGCTGGAAAGTTATTTTAGTTGCAACTTGCAAAGAACAGATTATGCAAGTATCTAGTTGAAACTCATGATCATCAATCAACTCTGTTTCACAAGATTATAGTGATGAAAGGATCAATTGTGTTTGTCCTTTTTAAAAATGTGTCTGGCATTTAAACTTGCCACTGGAGAAAATTAATATATGAAACGTGTGCTTGATGACATGAGAATTTGATTTGTAGTAATTTATGTAATAAATGTTCTGAGCAGTTCATTCGTATGTTACATTTATTTAAAGAAACAAAAGCAATATGTTTTTGTGGACAATTCTGCCAAAGTGAAATATATTCAAGGGCTATTGATTTCAAAAGAAACTTAAGCACATGTTAAACTGAATTCTCATTGAAATCAATAAAGTTAAAATACCCTCTTGTCTTAAAGTATTCTAAAATTATAAGATGTCAGTTCAGGGAATCCCTTACATGTTTTATGTTTTTTCAATGGAACAAATAACTTTATGTGGATTTAGAAAGGAAATTGATATAATTCTGCCGTTTGCTTCTTTCTGTTCCCTTAATTTATGCTGATTTCCCCCAGCTTCCAAACATAGTTTACAAGCACAAACCTAATGGAGATTTATAAAATGATGTATAATGTGAAGAGGGTACATGGAATTTTATTTCCCTCTTCCCATAATGATGGAATTTGATAAATATCGCACTGATCACCTGTATGGGAAGAAAAGTGAAAGAAACTACTTTTGAATGTAACAAATAATTTACAGTGTGCTGCTCTAAGGTTAGATGAGGGACAATATCTTAAATTGTTTTAATCGGTATTAAATATGTTAATATTGGTCTGTCAATCTGTCATAACTGCAGAAGTAGCATCTGAAAATCAGCAGAAGGGAGTTGTGTTCATGCCATACTTCTCAGAAGTAGGAGTTCACTGATTAGAATTGTTTTACTTTCTAGTATTAGTTACTACAGTTTTCACTGAGAAGCAGATCCTGTGTAAGGAATACACTATTTCAGAAGAAAGCAAAAATTACTTCAGCAGGATTTATGGCCAATGCAATTTTAATATTTATAAAGATGTATTTTGTCTTAAGGAGGAAGCTTTGATATTTTGCAATTTGGGAAACTAAGTATCAGAATATTTAGAATAAACATTTTCAGACATGCATGATACTAGTAAAATGAGACAAAATAATATTTCAAATTAAGCAAGCAATACTTTAATTGATATTTTGTTTGAAATGTGGACTGATTATTAAAAATATTGTATATTTTAGTTCCTTTAAAGAAATAGATACTATAGAAATCTACATCAATGAAATAATATTAAATGAAATGATTATTTTTTAAAACTTTGGATATTTGAATGATATACATGTTGGTTACATATTTGGTTACATATTTGATAATGGTTAATATAATTATAATTCTTAAAAATAGAACTTACAAAGACATATGGAACTACTAATTTTGTTACATTTTTTATCATCAACAAAGGTTATTTTATGGAAAATTTTGCAAGTACAATAAGAAATTTAAGTAAATTATTCTAAAAATATATAGGTATACTCAGATGGGCCATAATTCTCTCTCTCTCTCTCTCTCTCTCTCTCTCTCTTATTATATTGAATAAATAATACTATATTCAGAAGAAATAAACGATATATGTATTATTTAGAAACCAATAACTTAAGATCTGTATTTTAGAACTATAATTATTGGACTTTTAATAAACAGTAAATTCCATTGAAAGTTCCTGTTATTCTTTGATTTGAATAATCATTTATATTGCTGAATTATCTACCACAAAATTCATATTTTCTACTGGTTTTCACACTAATTTATTGCCATACTTTTTTTAGGTGAGCTTTGCTTCTAATATATGAAAGGCTGAAAATGTGCAGATTCTTTATTTAAATACAGTATTATTTTCTAAAAGATTTAGAGTAACTTAATTTATTTTTCCAAATCCAAAAAGTGGTTTGCAGTGGAAAAAATAGTGTATGGCTTCTCATCTGTGATTCAGATGAATTCCCTTAATCACTCCTTTTCTATTGTGTTGCTTGTTCAAAAATTATTAGTGTAACTGACTAAAAATATCATAACAAGAAAGCATAAGAGCTTTTGCAAGCCATAAAACTTTTGTTTTAAAAATGGAAAGTACAGCAGGGAATATAAAACATACTAGACATAATAAAAGTGCAAATTTGAATGCCAAGTAGCCATAGAAATGAAAATAAATTTGAGTGTGACCTAGATGAGGAGCAGGTGTGAAGAATCAGTAGGAGATTACCAGAGGCAGATATAAAGTTACAGAGAAACTGAAGTTCATTACCATAGAAGTCAATTGGATGTGGTCTATTACTGAATTAAGTTAGCAGGAAGACTGAAAAAAAATTAAAATAGTACATTCAAACTAGTAGATTTATTTGGGAAGATTTAAATTGTGTTTATATTGGACTTGGTGAGTTTTAATAATGAGCTTTTATTAAGGTGAATTAGGGGAAGTATTGATATTTTAATCAATGCATCTATTTTAGTATTGGCCATACTTGTTTTATTGCTGCTTTTGTACTCATTTTAATGTACAGAGCTCATATCAGTTGGAATAGAAGTTTTAAGAGAGAGAAAGTGTCTATGTGTGTGTGTGTATACACACATGCATGCACACACACACACACATATATACACACACATACAAGCACGTACAAAATGAAATCAGTTGTAGGATGTCAATAAAAACTAGACAACTCAGTTTTTTTATTTACATACATTGGAAACAGTTTTCATTCTTACTGATAAAAGCAAGTGTAAAATAGCATGTAAAATATGTTTTTTAAATTAGAATTGGATAAATTCTGAATAATACCATAGAAATCCAACTGTAAGAAAATTATTTACAGTTGAATCTAAAATTTGAATGACCAGCGGTTTCCTGATAAGAAAATAGTTTTCAAAAATATGTTCTTGCATTTAGGAAAATATTTAGAAAAATTCTTATGATTCTTTATACAGTATTTTAGAAGTTGCTGGGAATCAGGTGGTATATAAATTGAATTCATTATTAGAATGACTTTTCTGTTTATGAAAAAGAGGTAATGTGTTTATTTCAATCTATTTTTGATTTTGTTGCAAAAATTACTCAAGGAATAAACATGGATTTTCTCTTTTTTTTTTCTGTGTCAGTATCCCAGAGAGCAACCAGTTTGTCTTATTGAATTACCAGTTCAGTTTTCTTTTTCCTGGACTCCACAGGTAAGCTACCATTCATTTGTTCCCTTGTGAAGTATATATGTATTTGAGAAGCTGTTAGGCTCATATCTAATATACAGTTTAAGCAATTTCTACTGTATGAATTAATAATTCAGTTAAATTAATCTTGAATATAATATAAATGGTATAGTATCCAGTGAACCATAAAATGAGTTCCTGGCTTAAGAGTATGTTCGTATGTCAATTATTCACCATTTTGATAACAAAAAAAGATTTTTCTTCCAGTGAATCTTATGTATCAAACGTGTTCATTAGGAATTATTCACAAGCCAAGTGGTCAATGAACATTTGTTTCATTAGTGTAATATTACTTCTAAATCCTATTCTGTGGTGGCAAAATTATCTCCAATCTCATTAGGTAACAATATTTCCAAAAAAAACCCTGGGCGTAATCTGAGACACAGCGAGCCAGTTTGGGCTAGTCATTCTCCCTGACCAATCTAATTCACAGGGTGGTTGGTGCAGGGAGGGAGGAACAGAAGGTATACTGTTTTGAGTTGTGTAAAAATAAAGGAGAATGTACATAGAACCTGAAAGCTGTAATAAAAACTGATAGTGCAAGATGTTGTATTTCTGGGGCAAAACACATTAAAGTGTATGTGGGCTATTGACAACCTACCAGTTAGATGTTCAACATTCAGGAAGCACTTTAGCAATATATAATTTCTGCTTCTAAGGCTATGGTAATTCAGATTCTGCAATTTCTTGTTCAAGTTAATTGCAGAGGTTACTGGAAATCCTCATTGTTTCTTAATAGGTCTGATGACTTGAATGCAGGCGTATCAGTTTCTAAATCCTCAGCATGCCTTGCGGTGGCTTTAGAAATATTCTGTGAATATATAAAGAAGACTTGGAACCTTTAATAAGATACACCTGAGACAGGCAGAAATAGTTACAAGATATAGATAATCAGAAATTACTTTTGACATAGTGAATACTATATCTTATCCTGGTATAAAAAGTTGCTAAAGATAGATTCTTGCAAACCATACTTTATTTTCACACAATTAAAAGTCTCTGCTGCTGATGGGATGCCCCCCTCTGGCAAGAATGCAAAATGCTTAATTTTTTTCCATTGTTTTCATATACTGTATAATGAACATTTTTGGTATTTTTCTTCTTATGTCACCTGGTATAAAGAGAGCAGCACAAAAATAAAAAATTCACACACACTTTTTAAATAAAGGCTGAAACGTGGCTGTGTGCTATATGAAATTTTAAGCTACTGAATGTTAAAATTGCACTATAATTCACGATCAGTGTTTCACCCAAATTTCCAAAACTATGTGTTGGGTTCTATGTCTAATCAATGGACAATTGGCAGTTTACTTTCCTTTTTCTTGGAATATAATTTGCTCATATTATTTGCTTTCTAATTCACAATCTCTTATAGTATTAAACCTATGCCACTGCCCAACATAGTTTAAAATTTCTAACTTATGGTTTTCTTTTAGTTGTAGTTTCAGAGCAAGATAATCTTTTTTTCTGATGTTACAAGTCTTCTACTTCAGTAGCATATGTTTCCTAAGCAAAAGATAGTACATTAAGCTGTAAGACTTTCTACTATATTAACATAAATTTAAAAAAACATATACAGGTAAATTTTGTGAATATATGTCAGGTCCTAATTAAGTGTTGTAAATATGGGATACTATAAGTATAATATTAATACAGTAAATATATTTTTGTGAAAAGAATCATAGTATAAAACTTTCAAAGCATAATCTGTAATTTACTGAGGGATGATGTTTTTGTGTAGACATGCGTGCCTATGTAAAACACAAGCATATCTTCTCAAATATTTAACATCAAGCCTACATTCATAATGAAATAGTGAAGATTTAATGTTAGAACATTAACATTAATATTACGTTAGAACATTTTTTTAAAGAAACCATTGTCCTAATTCTGTGTAAAAGCATTCACTACGTATAGTTTGTTACATGTTCACCAAATAAGAAATTGGTGTGTATCAATGTACTGCATGTACTTCCTAGCTGGTGGGATTTTGGCAACAATATGTTGACTTGCAAGGTAGTCTGTAGTTTAGAGATCTTAGCTTGTTAAGAATAGTATGAACATGCATGATTTCTTGGGAAATGCTGCAAGACCCCTCTGTGCGCAGGGGCCTGCCTTGCCTTGCCTCACCTCACTCTGCGGGATGAGCCTCCCGCCCACTGCCCCGCCTGGCCCCCACAGGCGCCCAAGGCAAGTGACTTCAAGATGACCACGCCCACCCCAGCCATGCCCACCCAGGCAGCCACAATCATCCTGGCACCCCGAGGGCAACCATATATCACTCAGATGTCCAAAAAATTGAGAAAATTATTGTCCAGTCCAGTTCAGCCCCACTGGAGCTGAGCAACCAATTTCACATACTTCCCTTGGAAGAAAACATCTAGGCATCTAAAGAAGAGCCTTCATCAAGTATTCCAGTAATAAGAAGGAAGGTAGCCAAGATTTCCCCCAAGAAAAAATGGCATGTGTTGATGATAGGTGACTTATTATTTTTTTAAAGGAACAGAATCAGCAGTTTATAGACCAGACAATCTATTAAGGGCGGTATGTTGTCTTCCAAGTACAAAGATGAAAAATGTGGCAGAAATGCTTACCAAAATAATCAAGCTCACCAATTATTATCCCTTTCTACTCTTTCATGTTAGGACAAATTAAACAACAAAGAGCCTGAAAACAATATCAAGGGACTTATGAATAGTTAGACAGGAAAGCCAAACAGGAGAACAGACGATGTTCTCATCTGTACTTACTATGAAAGGTCAACTCTAGAAGTAAACTGCTGGCCCAAGGGATGGTGCCATACAGAGAACTTTGGATTCCTAGACCATGGTTTACATTACTTAGAGCAGTGGTGGCAAACCTATGGCACGGGTGCTAGACGCGGCACTTGGAGCCCTCTCTATGGGCACATGTGCCGTTGCCCCAGCCTTGCCTCTCCCCATGACCCCTCCTCTCCAGCAGCCCCCCTGAAGGAGAGTCGCCCTTGAGGTGGCCCACACGGAGCAGCGCACCCAAGGACATGGCAGCCAGGCAGCGTAGACAAGACACTGCCCTCACACCCCATCATGTAGTTGATGCTGCAGGGTGTGGCCACCATAGCGCTGCTGGGCTGCCTGGGCGATCTGCGACGGGCCTTGAGGCGGTGAGTGGTCCTGTGGGCAGGCGGAGCAGGGGATGGGCAGGGGGGGTGGAGTGGAGGCACTCGGTCTCTAAAAGGTTCGCCATCACTGACCTAGAGGGAAGGGCTTCTGGCAGGGAATGGACTACACCTCACAAGAACTGGGAAGAATGTGTTTGGAAAATATTTGGTTCAGCTTATCCAAAGGGCTGGGTGCATTATCCAAGAGCATATTGTCCAGATTATTTGCAGTAGCTGTTTCACTTAAATTTTGTAGATGAGTTTAGTATTTCATAGTAAGTGAAATTTCCATTCATATGTAAATAATTCCACATTGTTGGTTAAAAAACCGGAATGATTGTCAGTGAATGTTAGATAGATTGTAGGATACAATGAGAAAGAATCTAAAAACTAATGTATCAAATATCAAGATCGTCATATTTGACAAAGAAAATTAGACTGAACAATTGCAAGTTATATGTAAACAGCAAAAAACACAGCAAGTAGATTTGTCCATCTTACCAGAAATTGGCAAAAGATAAGAAAATTGAGACTTTGTTAGACAAATGCTAGTAAAAGGATAGTAGATAAAATGTGATCCATTACAAGGAATGAATGAGTATCAAATAAGTGAAAACGAGTGTAGTGAGTCATGCTTATTTTTGGTTTGCTATTTCTTACTCCTTTTTTGCACTTTGCATGGCATCACTTATGCCCAAAGGGATGTATGTATATTCAGGTTGACTTTTTCCCCAAAATTAAGAGATTCATATGTTCAGTGAGCTATTTGTTGGCAGATTTTGGCAGTATTTTGTGTATTCAGCATATATCTTCTAATATTTGATGGGTATTTAATTCTAACAATTGTAGGTCATCCTAATGAAAATGTTGACAAGATCCTTAACTCAAGGAGGACAAATCTCAAAATTTGAATACTAGCACAGAACTTGTTTTAAAAGAATCTAAATAGATTTCACATACAGTAATTGATTTTCTCCTAACATCTGTTTCCCATTTTGTGCTCCTCTCGTACTTTTGGACTCAAAGCTTGATGGTGGTTCTCCCCCCTCTTGCTTTTTATATAATAATAGACATGGCTTTATGGCATCTGTATTAAAAATGGGTAATTTTCCTTATGGTCCCTGTCTTCCTGCTGGGTTGATAATGTTTTGATGTATTTTTCTTGTGCTCTGATGAGAGGTCTGCTGCTGCTGCTCTGACATATTCATTTGGATGAATAATTATAATGTGCACAATGTCAAGCTGAAGATGGTAGGGTTTTGTGCATCATGACAAGCCTAGTAGCCAGTGCAGGTGTCTCACAGCAGGATCAGCAGCAGCCAGTGGATTCTGGTGGCAGAGGAGACATTTTAAAATAGTCAGAAATCGGTACAAGGGCAAGGCTGCTGCCATTGTTCCAGTTGCCATACATACAAAGCTTTCCAGTGACAAGTCCCAGTACAACTACTTACTTCAGTTACAGACTTTCTTTTGTCTAATTAGCAAAATTCATTTGCTGTGTGTTTCGTTTTTTAAAATGTCCAATTATTGCAGGTATTTATACATGGGTTAAAGCACTGCCTTTTCCTTTGAATTATTAGTCAAATTATTTCTACTAAAATACATAAAACTGGATTTTCTAAAGAAGCATGGAGGATTTCTATCTTTGATGACTAAGTCTTCAGTGAAATTATTAAATATTAAATCAATAATATATACAACATATCTGACAGCTGGATATGTTTAATTGAAATTATTAAATATTAAATCAATAATATATATAACATATCTGACAGCTGGATATGTTTAATTGAAATCTGGTATTAATTTTTTTGGTCAATCTGTG